GCGGCGGCGGGCAGCGGCGGCGGCGGCAGCGGCGGCGGCGGCGGAGACGGCGGCGGCGGCGGCGGATTGGCCCCCAGTAGCTGCCCATCCAAAGACGACTGCTGAATATGCTGAGGCTCGGGCCAGACTCGGGTGCCACGTATGTGTTGGGAGGGCGGGTGGGAGTGAGCGAGACAGCTTGCGGGCGGGGAGGGGGTAACTTGACCCCCCCCCTGCCCCCTCCCCTGGACCTGCACGGGCGGTGCCGCGACCCATCGGAACGTCCAAAATGGCCTCGGCGAGGGAGCCAAACTCATTAGTTTTACGATGGTTTGTGCCCCATAGGGCTAAAAGAACCCCCTCTCTTCTTTGGTCGATGTCCTCCAAGGCGGCCCCAAGAAGCGCCCAGGAGGCCCCAGGAAGCTCCAAGATGGCCCGACGATGGCCCCAAGATGGCTCCAAGAGGCCCCCAGGAGGTCCCCAAGATGACCCCAAGCGGCCCCAAGAGGCTCCCCAGAGGCACCCAAGACGCCCAAGAGCCCCCCAGGACCGCCAAGAGACCCCCAAAACGTCCCAAGAGGGCACCAAGAAGCGCCCAAGAGATACCCCAAGAGGCTCTGAGAGGCATCCAAGAGACCTCTGGCCCTTTTGCTTACGCTCCTCCTCCTGCGGTTCCTTCCTACTCCTGCTTGTTCGCTTCCTCCTCCTCCTCCTCCCCCTTCGATTCATCCTCCTTCTCCCCACTCCCTCATCCATCCATCCAGCCTCCTCCTTCTCCTCCTCCCTCCTTCGCACGGCTTGGCCGTCCCCCTCTTTGCTCCCGCACTTCCCTGATCACCTCAACTCGCCTGAACATCGTTTCTGGATGGGCTGGTAGTGATACGCAAAGCGTCTATAATTTCTTCTGACATCAGGGCTTGCCTCCGACGTCCGAAGAAGCATTGGGCCGCCCGCTCGCGAAGGACGGCCGCAGCCAGGCCACCTCCCACTCGTCAGCTATGCGACGACGAGCGCGAATCCGTGGATTGCAGGTGACAGCGAACAGCCCGCCGGGCCTGGCAGTTCCTGAACCTTGGGGAGCGTGCCCCGAAGAACAACGCGAAGCTGGGTCGGACAAGCTGGCAACCAGTACCCAAAACTGAAACATCTTACCGAGAGCCAAGAGCGCACCAGCACTAAGCTGAGCGAAGTGGCGCATGTGGAAGCCGTCCATGAAGACGGCCACGGCGCGAGCGTAGCCGCGGTCGGGCTTCCTCAGCGCTGCAGTTCCCAAGAAAGGAAAAGGCCCCAGGCAATCCTGCCTTGCGAGCCGATCTGGCGGCCTCGACTCCAGGTAGGTGGTGCCCCAAAGCTCCGCAAACTCGGGAGCTTCCGACGTGGTCGAATGGATCCGAAAACAGAACCAACTCGGAGCAGAGAGTCACAGTAGGGTGCGCCGCTTGGGGGCCCCAGGTGCACGCGGGAGCCCTTGCCTCCGTGCCCAATGCCCTCTAGGACCCACTGCCTCCAAGAAGCTCTGGACTCCTTCCGAGTAAGGATAGCGACCTTCGACAGCGACTCCACCGAGCACCCCGCGCGCTGATCAAAAGACATGCTCCAATCATCCTGGGCCAGTAACTCCTGCTGCAGTAAAGATAACAGTGCCTGATCATGCGAGAAGCCTCAACGCCCCAGACAGTCCAAGATGCTCTGTGGCGGCCGAGGGAGTTGACCGATGAGCGATCTGACTGCAGAGTGCTCGTCGGGGCCATCAACAGCAAGTTTTCCCGCGAGACCCCTGCCCGCTGGGGCGTCGGCGGGACTGGCTTGAAATCCAGTGCACGCGAGTCGCGCTGCTCGCATCTTGGGCGGCGCACGCGCGTGCCAAAGGCAAAAACATAACTCCAGATAGACTGGCAGAAATCGACCTCGCTGGGATTGGCGCGCAACTCGTCGGCCAGGGCCAACGCCGAGAACGCCGTGCCCAGACGTCGCAGCTCAACCTGATCAGGGCGTAATCCAAGAGCTCCAGGGTGCGGTTCCGGACGGAGGGCTCGATGGTAGGGCCCACTGCAGGATCTGCCGGCCACTTGGGAGCTGCTCGAAATCGATGGGCGCAAGCTGCCTGGCAGGCGCGGATATCGGATAGGTGGCAACCTCCTCCTCGAGGCCCATTTCCTTCGCGCGCTTGCTCGCGCCTCCAGAAGGCAAGAGATAAGCATGGTGCCTGGGGCCCATGAACCCAGCGAGATGCCTGCAATCCTCGCGGGCGCTGACCAAGTTCCCTCGCAGAAGCTCACGGAATCCCGCGCCCGTGAAGGACCCCGGGCGCCACTGCATGACCCCCCCCCCAAAAAAAACTAAGCACATTCCCCGAGTTGCGCGGGAAACGCGAAGCCGCGTAGGAAGGGATGAATACGTTCTCTTAGATACTGGCAGCGATGAAAACTGGCTGGTCGAGGCGCTGCACCTGGCCGGCGCCGCGCCTGAACAGGGATATCCTGGGCAGGTTCACGAAAGGGCGGGGCGCGACAGCTGATGTGACCGCCACGGCGACGCCCGCAGAAGCTCCGCCCGCAGGACCGAAGCCGCGGGCTCCCACTGAATGTTCAAGCTGCGACGAATACCCCAGGCGCTGGCCTGCTCGACCTCCTCGAAACTGCGAAGCTGGTGCTCCAGAATGCACGCGGCATGTGCGTGTTCTTCACGCGCCCACAAGAGGTGCGCACGAGCGCGGTGGCGTCGCCGCCCGTCATGGGCGCTGCTTGGAAGGGACCTTGGAAGAGAGGGGTTCGGTCTCTCAGCCTGGTCAAACGCTGCCTTCGCACATGTTCACGAAGTAAGTGTGAAGGAAGGTCCGCACGCGCCTGAAAAAAAAACGTCAGCCAAACCCTCGGGGGTTGGGTTTCAAAGTCCCCACGCGCGGTCTTGAGCCACTGGCTATGGAGGAGGAACAGAAGGAGGAGACGGAGGAGGAGGATGAACCTGCCCCGTTGAGGAGGCGCGCGGCCCCTCCCACCTAGGCCGCGCCGTTTTCGCCGCCCGAAACCTCCGCAGGGTGGGGCCTCGCGGCGACGGTGTAGTCGACAATCGAGCCGCCATCCTCGAAAAGGGTGGCGACGACGGCCAGGCAGTCAAGTTTGTTGAGAATCAAACTGGCGAGCGGCTGCACAACAGAGCCAACGAAGGACTGCGGGAAAGCGACCTCGTAGCAATCAGCGAGCAGTCGAAAGTCACGCTCGAGACGGGAAGGCCTCCCTGAAGACCATATTCGCCCAAACTCGCTTTGATGATCGGTGTGGCAGTGAACGGGAAGCTGTTGAGTACACCCTGGATCGCCACCAGCGTAGTCGTCCACTAACGCATGCGTTCGGCTTGAACGGCGGCTTGCGCGGCAGCAACACTATGCTCGCACCTGCGAGTATGCAAAGGCTTGTGCAACTCTCCGCAGTCCCTCAATAGGGCCTCCACGTTCATCATCATCATCATCATCATCATCATCATCATCATCATCATCATCATCACCATCAGCATCATCATCATCATCATCATCATCATAATCATCATCATCATCATCATCATCATCATCATCATCATCATCATCATCATCATCATCATCATCATCATCATCATCATCATGTGCAGTGTCAAGTTGCACGTCCACTGCCCGAGCGCTGGCCCACGATATAACCCTCGCATTTCGAAGCCGTAGACGGCATCTTGGGAGACGTCGCGCTTGCAGCAGAATGTAGAGCGGCAGGATGAGGCGCCTATTGGCGGGCATGAGGAGGAGCGAGCTGGACAGCGTCAGGGGGAAATGCCACCAGGAGCAGCACCACGCCGAAACTCTTCGATATGTCTCTGCACTGCACTAGACTGGACTGCATCATTATGGGTCCCACCCAGTTGTAGATCACATTCATCCATCTGGCACTGCTTCAGACAGGGCTGCGTCATTATGGGTCACACCCGACCGCCTTTCACCATGCACATCGCAGCGCCAAGTTGATCAGGAGGCTCAGCGCCAGCAGCAAGCCGCATGGCCCTAGAAAGGAGCGGCCTCGGAAGCCACGCGAGCACGTGCTGGGAAACCAGGAAGAGGAAGCCGTACTCGGGGAGGTGCCTGTGATGAAAGTCGACCCCACGCACTCAGAAGGATGAGGCGGGGGTGAACGAGGAGGAAGAGAGATGAGGAGGGGCAGGGAGAGTCCTGCTGGATGTGGGAGGATCCTTAGATGGTCTTGAAAAGCTCTTGGGCTGCCCTTCAGAAGATCTGTAAGAGGAACCTGAGAAGCTCGATGGAGGCTCTGAGAGGGTCCAGGGAAGCTCATTGGAGGTCATCATCTTGGCTTATGTAAGCTTTTGGGCATGATCATGACTTCTACGGGTCACCCTGAACAATGACAATGTCTGTGCTATGATCGTCCGATCTGCTAGTCGGACAGAATGTTCGATAACGTGTAGCTTCATCATAAAACTGTTGAAACAATGTCTTTGGATTGATGTCTACAAGACCGCCCAACGAACATTCTACTCACTAGAAACGGGTGCGGGCAGGGTGCCAGCAGCCGCCGGGACCCGCCCAGGAGAGATTCTGGTTCCCTTTCCAGCACCTATGGGAACCCTGCGCGAAACGCTTCAGGGAAACAGTGGGTGAGGAGGGGAGGGAGGGGAGTGGGGGGAGTAGGAAGGAGGGGGAGGAAGAGGAAGGGGGAACCAGGAGGAGGAGGAGGAAAGATGATAATGAGGAGAAAAGGGGGGTGAGGAAGGAAGGGCGGACGGGGACGATTGAGGGAGGTAGACGAGGGCGATGACGAGGAACATGCTGAGGATGGTGATGATAGTAATTGTGAAGACGATCGTGATGATGCTCATGATGATCCTGCCGATTCGACTGGAACCAATGACCACAGCAAACTGGGCCATGCACCCCCGCCCCTGGACCGAGTGCAGACGCTACGAGGGCCCCACTGGGAAACAACGACGGCCCCACGCAAGGGAAAGCGCGGAGGGACCCGCAAACCCCGCACAAGCGTTCAGTCCTAGGGAGAGGGATCTGCACCTTGAGCTGACCACCAGGGCGAGGGGGACCAGGAGGGCGTCGAGGTCCGGGCTGGTCTGCAATTCCCTGGATGCTCTGGACGCCTCCCGGAGGCGAAACAACAACACCAACAACCACTACAGCAACAACAACAAAAACAACAGCAGCAACAACAACAACAGCAACAACAACAAGAACACCTCCAATAACAATCATTTTAAGACTGTTCGCTCTTATCTGCTCGAGTGTCCATTAACGCGAATTCCCCCCACACACCCTCGATACCGGCCCTCTTCGTCGTCGATCGTACCCCTTTTGGGGGGGTAGACCTTTCTTCCCTGCAGGCCGGGCCCCGGCAAGCGGCGGGGCGGCCGCGGACCGTCGGCCTGGCCAGCGGCAGCGCTGATCGGCGGCAATCCGACCCCAAGAGGGACGGACAGGGAACCGACCACGACGACGACGACGACGACGACGACGACGACGACGACGACGACGAGCGAAAGCGAGAGCGAGAAAGAGAACGACAGCAGGGCCACGAAGGGCACGAAGTAGGCCACGAAGGGCGACAGCGGGGACACGAAGGGAATGCGTATGGGGCCACGAAGAGCGCAAACGAGCGGGGGCCACGACGGGCAGATAATGCGGGGCCACAGAAGGCAACGACGGGGCCACTGAGGGTAGCAACTGGGCCACGTAGGACAGCGAGGGGGCCACGAAGGGCGACAGCGGGGCTACGAAGGGCTTGCACATGGGGCCGCGACAGGCGCGAACGAGCGGGGGCCACGAAGTGCGTACGTATATTGGGCCGCGGAGGGCAAGTACGGGGCTACAAAGGGCTGCAACGGGGCCACGAAGGGCAGCGAAGGGGCCACAAAGGGCGACAATGGGGCCACGAAGGGCATGCATATGGGGCCACGACGGGCGCGAACGAGCGGGGGCCACAGAGAGCATACATATATGGGGCCACGAAGGGCAGCGAGGGGGCCACAAAGGGCTGCAACGGAGCCACGAAGGGCAGCGAGGGGGCCACGAAGGGCTGCAACGGGGCCACGAAGAGCAGCGAGGGGGCCACGAAGGGCTGCGACGGGGCCACGAAGGGCAGCGAGGGGGCCACGAAGGGCTGCAACGGGGCCACGAAGGGCTGCACCGGGGCCACGAAGGGCAGCGAGGGGGCCACGAAGGGCTGCAACGGGGCCACGAAAGGCAGCGAGGGGGCCACGAAGGGCTGCAACGGGGCCACGAAAGGCAGCGAGGGGACCACGGAGGGCTGCACTGGGTTCACGAAGGGCAGCGAGGGGGCCACGAAGGCAGCGAGGGGGCCACGAAGGGCTGCATTGGAGCCACGAAGGGCAGCGAGGGGGCCACGAAGGGCCGCACTGGGTTCACGAAGGGCAGCGAGGGGGCCACGAAGGGCTGCAACGGGGCCGCACAAGGCAGCGAGATCCCGATTCCTAAGTAATCTGTGGGGGAGTCCTAAGCGTGAGCGCGACTCCTGGGTGCCTGAGTGTCGGGAGCGCGGCGCTTGAGTAAATTGCGGGAAATTCCAAGGCAAGGGCGCTATTCTTGAGTCAATTGCAAGCAAGTCTCCAGCGAGAGCGCGACTCCAGAGCGCCGAGAGAGCGATTCCTGAATAAATCGTGAGGAAGTCCCAAGCGAGAGCGCGATTTCTGAATAACATGCGAGGAAGTCTCAGGCGGGAGCGGGGGTCCTGGCTAAATTGTGAGGAAGTCTCAGGCGGGAGCCTTTTGTATGGTAGAGACAGAACATCACAGTCGTCGTCCTTCGCCCTCGCCCACCACCTGCAGGCTGCCCTGACATTGCATGCGCGAACAACTGATCGGGGGACTTTCCCGATGTGCATGTGTGTCTTTCCTCTTTCTCGCACGGGCAAAGGACGCATGGGGTGCCTCCCCGTTCGCTTGGCCCCCGCTTCGGCCCTCCTGGCCTCGATGCTCATGCCTCGGGGGAACCGCCGCGCCTTGGCCCCTCGCCCCGAACGATGCCGTGGCGCCGGCGGGGGGGCGCGGTCGGCCCACGCTCGGCGGGCGTCGAAAGCTGGGCCAGAACGGCTGGGCAGGGTCGAGGGGAGGCCCCGCGTTCCTGGGCAAGCCGCAGGTGCACTCAGGCGTTAGGCGTCAAGGGGAGGCCTCCTTCCCCAACTCCTATTCCACCCTGTTCCCTCTTCCTCCTCCTCCTCCTCCTCCGCCTCCGCCTCCTCTTCATCCCCTCCTCCTCCTCCTCCTCCTTCTCCTCCTCCTCCTCCTCCTCCCTCCTCTTCCGTGCCTCTTTATAGAATTACGTATACGCAGGGCTACCTTGATTACGTTCCGACAGCCGAGTGTCCTCTCCGTGTGCTGTTTCACCACGCTGGAATTTATTACTTGGTATGTAATAACTTTGTGTTACAATCGGAGCGTCCCGGGTGTTTCAAATCAGTGCTCGCGCTGCACCGTTGACCTCAGATCAGGATCGGCGCCTTGCTCCAGTCGTTCAGAAAAGCGCTAACGCCCCAGCGCGGGCCACGTTCCTGCATCCGAATCCTTCCTCGTCGTTGTCGCCCCTCCTTCCCCCTCCTCCGCCTTCCCATAGTCCTCCTGGTCCTCCCGCTCATGTGTCTGCTTCTGCTGCTGCTGCTGTTCCTCCTCCTCCTCCTCCTCCTCCTCCTCATCCTCATCCTCCTCCTCCTCCTCCTCCTCCTTCTGCTCCTCCTCCTCCTTCTCCTCCTCCTCCTCCTTCTCCTCCTCCTTCCCCATCTTCATTCATCCTCATCCTCTTCCTCCTGCTCGCCCTCCTGCTCATGCACCACTTCCGCCTGCCTCCTCTCCCTCCCCCTCCTCATATGTTCCCATCTCCTCTCACTGCTTGCGCATGACGCAATGGGTCGTTTTTTGGGGGGGTCCAGGTCCGCTATGGCAACCGTCGGCGGACGGAACACCAAAAACAGCGCAATGGGAAAGGATGGGCGGAAGCGGTAGAATGTCTGATATGGCGCTGGCGCACATCGATTGTCCTCTCTCCCCTCTTCCTCCTCCCTCCTCCTTCTCCAACCTTCCTCTTCCCCCCTCCCGCCCTCCCTCCCTCCTTCCCCCCTCCTCCTTCCTTCTTCTCTCCTCCCTCCTCCTCCCTCTTCTCCCTCCTCCGTCTCCTCTGTCTGACCTCTCTGATCCGTTTCCCTAGTATCCTTCCTGCTCCTCCTCCAGGAGTCTGCATCTGACCGGACTCAGTGAGTGGCAAGCGGGCGTGCGACGAGCAAGGCTGCAGGGCAAGACTGCAACACTCCTGCCTCGCCCGCGCCTCACACTCCTCCACCTTCCTCCTTTTCCCCCCTTCTCCCTCCCCCATCCCTCCTTCTCGTCCTTCTCCCTCCTCTCCCTCGCTCCTCTTCCAGTCCCACGTACGCCCTCATCCCTACTCTGCGGGCATGTCGTGCGGCCAGCCTGCTGAGCCCCCGCCTGGGGAACTCCCAAATAGCGCAGCCGCTGGCGTTTTCGACCAGTTTGCAGTTCGGCCGACCCTTCGGGCTTGGGGTTGCGTCGCCCCGAGTCGGCCGCAGACGAGACCGTCCAAACGCTAGCCCTACATCTCCTCCGTACTCCACTCCCTCCTCCCTCCTCGCCCCTCCCACCTACGTCTCTCTTGCGAGCGCATACCTGCGCCGCTGCGCTCCCTGCACCAGCGGGGACTTTGCGGGAGCACTTGAATAAGCTCTGACAGACTCCGTGAGCACTTCCTGGGGGCAGCGCCTTTCCATGTGATGAGAAATGGACTCCTCATAATCCTCTCCTGGCGATACCGCAGCAGCTCTCGCGTATCAATGTTACTCGCTTCCCGGAAGACACAGCAATCTGGCGGGCCTGCAGACTGCGGCCGTGTCCGCCAATCCCAGCGGTGGGGGCACGAGTTCCACGCAAGTATTTTGCGGCAAGGCCCTCAGAAAGGGCCCAGGATGTGGCTTGGAGGCAAAGCGTGTACTGTCTCTCTGTATTTTTACATGCGCTACGAAGCGATTATTAAATGGCGAACGCGATTGGCCAAATGTGAACACTTTGATACTCGGGTCGCGACTCATCACCGGCTGTGTCCGTGGATTTGCAGGCGCGATTATTTCAGCTCTCGGAGTCTGCTGGCGGCCATTGACCTTTACGCTGTCGCTTCGCTGGACGCTTTGCGAATGCCGCCGCAGGTGCACTTCGACGGCCCAGGGTTGTAAGCCACAGGCTAGAAGCGATACGAGATTACGCATCCCCCCCGTGCGCTGAGAAGCTTCAAGCTGCTCTGGTGGAAGGGCTGAGGGGCATTGCTTTGGATGACGGGGGCAAGCGCTCGCTTATTTGCTTGTCCGTGGCCCTCAGAAAGGAGCGAATTCGGCGCGTCTTTGGTAGGGCTGGCCAGCAGTTAGCAACTGTGCCCCCAACTCACGCATTGACGACTGAGCTGGACGGTCCAGGAGACGTGCTGGAGGATCCACGAAAGCTAAACCGAGGAAAGTCAAAGACGGTGGGACGAAGGGCGACAGGGAAAGTCTTCGCGTCTCGCGAGGTACATCTAACATGTTTAGGGCTGACTCTCATGACATCACTGATCTCGACTTTCTTCAATGCAATCAATCGGCTTTAGTCCGTGGTCCAACCATCGGCCAACGGTCGAAATCTCACGCTTCTACCTTTGTTCCACCAGGAGCCGTGCTGGTCAGCGGCTGTGGCGCCCATCTTGAAGTGTTCCAAGGAAATGTGGGTTACCTCCCTGCCATTCCCCTCACGGAATTCTGAGAGTCCTGGAGTGTGGGCTTCACGGGAGAACCCCTTTCGTGGCGTAATGTCTGTGGTGCTGTGACTCTGTCGGGGCCTTGAGTAAATCCTGTGAGCAAGTCTCGTGGTCAATGATGCCATTCGGGAATTTTCTTACTGATCAAGGTCACGAGGTTCACCTCACCGGGTGGTTCCCTCGGCTGTTTCGTACACGCATCAAGATCGCTGTTTTGTGCAGAATGACATGGGACCAGGGGGTCCTCCTCGGCCTTAACGGCCCAACCTGTGTCGACGAGATTCCGCAACTTTTCAAATGCTCTGATGTTGCCGCCCTTCGAACTAGGATGCGTCCGCGCTCTATGTTGCAACGAAGCCTATATCAGGCAACCCGCGGTGGACCTGTGATACAAGATATCCAATGCGTGT